ATTCTTTTTTTTTTTTTTTACCAAAACAAGCTTCTCTAGTTCAAGGAACAAATTTTCTGGACTGTCTTCTTTGCTTTGTAGAAGCTGTTTTAATTCTGCAGCATTAATACTCATCGTCCGTGATGGATGAGCTCCATCTACTTCCATGAGACCACTATCATCTCCACAACATCCCTGTAAATGTCACACATAAGTTAAATTTGAGAGCAGAAAATTTTGCAAAGATGCTTCCAAACTTAATCAGATACTTAAGCCATTTGCTGCAACCTTCCCCTCAATATTACGGTTATACATAAGTACAAATGGCTAGTTTTTAGAAGGAATTAGCTGAAAGCTGAAAGTTTTCTTTAAACAAAACTCATAAAACAAAACAGGTAAACACATACATTCAATCTACTAGCACCAAGATTTCTCAAAAAAAAAAATCAGTGTCAAACACCTTGATATTTGTAGGATACTGACTGATGCTCTGGAGCCAATAAAATTCCTGTTGTAACAAAGAACTGTAAAAACATGAAATTGTATTTCTGTAAGCAAGCAAACAAAACAGTAACTATCACACTTATGACAATATTTTGTCATAAAACCCAAGTGTTTTCTTATCTAAAATCACTCATACTGTCACATATAGAATGACTTACAGTATACATATCACCCATGATACATGTAGCCTAATTTTAAAATGGCTTAAAATTAATATGACCTTCTAGAATTAAGCTCATACAGAAAAAACATACCCACCAATCTAGATGCAGGATTTAGTACATTTAAATTGACACAAACAACTTTGCTTGAAGCTCTTATAATTTGTCTTATAACTGATAAAATGCCAATGAGGGATAAAAATTATCCGTAATAAAAATCTCACTAGCCAAGCATCGGTGGCTCATGCCTGTAATCCTAGCAAGTTAGGAGTGAGATCTGAGGATCAGAATCACTGTTCAAAGCCAGACCAGGCAAGAAAGTTCTAAGACTCTTATCTCCAACTACCTACCAAAAAAGCCAGAAATAGAGCTGTGGTTCAAGTGATAGAACACTGGAATTGGGGGGGAGGGGAGAGGGAGAAAGACACAGAGAAAGAGAGACAGACAGACAGACAGAGACAGACAGAGAGACAAGCTAAGGGGGACAGCACCAAGCCCTGAATTCAAGACCCACAGCAGGCCAAAAAAGAAAAATCTCAAATTGATACAACGAAGCATACTTGATCATTTCAGAAAACATTAGACTTAGGAAGTGTTAGGAAGAGGTTATACAGTTTTAATAAGAAATTAAATAGGGCTGGGAATGTGGCTCAGTGGTAGAGCACTTGCCTTGCATGCATGAGGCCCTGGGTTCCATTCCTCAGCACCACATAAGCAAAAAAGAAAAATGCCAGAAGTGGCGCTGTGGCTCAAGTAGTAGAGTGCTAGCCTTGAGCTGAAGAGCTGAGGGACAGCGCCCAGGCCCAGAGTTAAGGCCCCATAAACGGACCCCTCCAAAAAAAATTTAAATTAAGTCTGTAAGGGCTTTATTTACTCTATGGCAAAACAGTAATAGACTCATAAAATTATCTAGCCTATGCTTTACTTAAAAATAATAATAAAGCTGGGCCCAGTGGCTCATGCCTATAATCCAAGCTTCTCAACAGTCTGAGATCTGAGGATTGTATTTCAAACTCAGCTAGGGCTGGAAAGTTCATGACACTCTTTTTTTTTTGGGGTCCAGTCGTGGGGCCTGAACTCTGGGCCTGGGCACTGTCCCTCAGCTCTTCAGCTCAAGGCTAGCGCTCTACCACTTGAGCCACAACGCCACTTCTGGTTTTTTTCTTATGTGGTGCTGGGGAATCGAACCCAGGGCCTCATGCATGCAAGGCAAGCGCTCTACCACTGAGCCACCTTCCCAGCCCGTTCATGACACTCTTATCTCCAATTAACCACCAAAAAAGCCAGAAGTAATGCTGTAGTTCAAGTGGTAGAGGACTACCCTTGAGCAAAAAAGCTCAGGGACAATGTCCAGGACTCTTTAAGTTCATGCCCCAGGACTGGCACCAAAAAATTTTTAAAAATAAATAGTAATAGTGATGATGATGATGATGATGATGATGATAATGATAAACTGGGCACCAGTGGCTCACACCTGTAATCCTAGCTACTCAGGAGGCTGAGATCTGAGGATCGCGGTTCAAAGCCAGCCCAGGCAGGAGAGACCATGAGACTCCGATCTCCAATAAAACCACCAGAAAACCGGAAGTGGCGCTGTAGCTCAAGTGTTAGAGCGCTCGCCTTGAGCTGAAGAGCTGAGGGACAGTGCCCAGATCCAGAGTTCAGGCCCATGACCGGCAAAAAACAAAAACAAAAAATCAGAAGGCTGACATCCGAGGATCACAATTCAAAGCCAACCTGGCAGGAAAGTCTGTGAAACTCTAATCTCCAATTAACCACAAAAATCCCAGAAATGTCTGTTTCTCAAGCAGTATAGTGCTAGCCTTGAGCAGAAAAGCTCAGAGACCACATCCAAGCCCTTTGTTCAAGCCCCAAAATATAAGTAAATGAGTTAAAAACAGAGTGTAAACTAGATCTAAAATACACTACAGCATGACAAATTACATAGACCTCCAGGCATTCACACACAGGGAGACTAAGGGAGCTACTCTTAGAGGAGGAACCCAAAGGCCTAAGTCTCTGAACATGTAAAATACCATTATTAAACCAATTCCAGAAAATGGAAACATGGGGTTTTGATAGTGGTGGTGGCAAGTAGTGATGGTGTTGTTTTTGCTTTTTGTTGTTTTATTTGTTCTTTTTTCTGTCTTTTGAGAGGGTAAGGGGTGCAGAAATGAAGAAAACACAGATGAACTATCGCAGGCATGGTACTTAGTGGATACTACATGGAAAATGAACTATGCAACTTGTGCACAGGGGCAGGAGGGAAAATCTGAGGGAAAGTGAAGGAAGGGGTGACACCCAAAAAGAACTATACTCATCTGAAATGGTAACCCCTCTGTACAACATCTTTTTTTTTTTTTTGGTCGGTCATGGGGGCTTGGGTACTGTCCCTCAGCTCTTTAGCTCAAAGCTACTGCTCTACCACTTAAGCCACAGCGCCACTTCTGGCTTTTTCTGCTTATGTGGTGCTGAGGAATCACACCCAGAGCCTCATGCATACAAGGCAAGCACACTACCACTGAGTCACCTTCCCAGCTCCAAAAACATCTTAAATGATAATAAAATTCTAAAACCCCCCTCCCTCTCTTAAAAAGTACCAACTGGGGACCGATGATTCAGACCTATAATCTTAGCTACTCAGAAGGCTGAGACTTGGAGGTTCAAGGTTTGAGGCAAACCTAGATAGAAAAGTCCTGGATGTTCTATCTGCATAATAATCAGGAAAAAGCAAGGCTAGTGTCATTGCTCAAATGATATAGTGCCAGCTGAGCAAATAAGTAAGGAACATCAAAGGCTCTCAGTACAAACGCCAGTACCACTCTCACAGGAAAAAAAAAAGGCAGAAAGAATATACTGACAGGAACAGAAAGAAAACACTTCTGCTTACAGGTATTGTCCCCTAAAGTTTGATGAGGTTTAAACCTAAAAGATTACACACCTCTTGCAGAAGTATATTAGCTAGATGACAAACTATAAAGTCTTGGCTTCTCTTGTCCTTCCTAGTTATTCATGATACTTCCTCCAAGAAGTAGCAAGTTCACTTTAATTGAATCACAAATATAGTAATTAGTTTTTTGTTTGGTTTGTTTTTAACTCAGTTGTGGGCACTGTCCCTCAGCTCTTCAGCTCAAGGCTAGCACTCTACTACTTGAGCCACAGACAGCACTTCCAGCTTTTTCTGTGCATGTGGTGCTGAGGAATTGAACCCAGGGCCTTACGCATGCAAGGCAAGCACTTTACCAATAAACCACATTTCCAGCACAGTAATTAGTATATTTTTTTGGAGGGGGGTCCGATCGTGGGGCCTGAACTCTGGGCCTGGGCGCTGTCCCTCAGTTCTTCAGCTCGAGGCTAGCGCTCTACCACTTGAGCCACAGAGCCACTTCCAGCTTTTTTCTTTTTGCTTATGTGGTACTGAGGAATGGAACCCAGGGCCTCATGCATGTAAGGCAAGCGCTCTACCACTGAGCCATCTTCCCAGCCCTAGTAATTAGTATTTTTAAAGCTCAGAGAAAGTATACCAAAATCAAGTTTGAAAATAATCAAGTTTAGGGGCTGGGAAGATGGCTGAGTGGTAGAGCGCTGGCCTTGCATGCATGAGGCCCTGGGTTCGATTCCTCAACACCACATAAGCAAAAAAAAAAAAAGAAAGAAAAAAGAAAAAAGCCTGAAGTGGCGCTGTGGCTCAAGTGGTAGAGCGCTAACCTTGAGCTGAAGAGCTAAGGGACAGCACCCAGGCCCAGAGTTCAGGCCCCACGACCGGACCCCCCCCCCAAAAAAAAAGAAAATAATCAAGTTTAAAATAAGAGAGAGATGAGTTCACACCTATAATTCTAGCTACTCAAGAGGCTGAAAGATTTCAGTTTAGAAGCCATCACCGGCAGAGTAGCTGAGGATTCTTTTTCTTTTTTTGGGTCCGGTCGTGGGGCCTGAACTCTGGGCCTGGGCACTGTCCCTCAGCTCTTCAGCTCAAGGCTAGCGCTCTACCACTTGAGCCACAACGCCACTTCTGGCTTTTTTTTTCCTGCTTATGTGGTGCTGAGGAATTGAACCCAGGGCCTCATGCATGCAAGGCAAGCGCTCTACCACTGAGCCACCTTCTCAGCCCCATAGCTGAGGATTCTTATCTCCAATTAACTAGCAAAAAGTTGAAAATGGAAGCAGGGCTCAAGTGATAAGAGTTCTAGCCTCAAGCAAAAAAGCCCAAAGCCCAGCCTCTGTACTGGAACAAAATAAGAAATAACACACACAAAAAGAGGGAGAGGCCCAAATAGGTTTAGTGAGAACTCTAAATTCTATTTTAAAAAAAAATTATCACAATTCTTTTCAACCTCTTCTAGAAGACAGAAGCAGAGGAAATATTTCCTAATTCATTCTATAAGGAAAATATTAATACAGGTGGCAAACACAGATGGAAATCTTGGTCAACAACAGACAGACATGAAAGAGTGTACCACAAAATTATGTAGTGAAGCCGAATCATTTCAATGGCCTATTGATATTATAGCTATTACAACATGTTGCAAT